TACTGTAGCGGACCCACCAGGTGTGGTGCTCCGCTAGTGACAGAGATGGAGATGGAGGAAGAAGGGGGAGCAAGATGGCACAACGCAGCTCCCCACGCAAGACTCCAACGCACGTACTCCAAAATGTGCAAGTGAAGAATGAGACTGAAAACAGACACTGGCTGGGGTATACCCTAGCGGACTGACGGGACTGGACTGGACTGGACTGGCTGGTACCGACAGAGGTACCGGCCTGGACTGGCCTACCCCGAACACAACACAGGCCTGTGAGAACAGGCCAAGGGGCTGGTCTCACAGGCCAACCCGAGGTCCGCTACACGATCCTCGGCCTATGATGGATCGCCTAGATACAAACATGCTTCCGCCAGGAAGCGGAACTCTACCAAAGAAAAGAAAACCTGAGTAGTCTAGGATGCGGAGCAAGCTCCATGCTGAGTCCATGCGATGCAACCGAGGATATAAAATGTCACAAAACAGCAATGTCACAGCTAACAGCCTAAGTGAAAGCAGAGGCAACTAACTAACATACATGTCCTAGGAAAGCAAAAGCAACTAACTAGCATACATGTCCTAGGAAAGCAGAAGTAGTGACAACTGGATCCTAGAATGTTGGAGGCACTAGCCTCAGTCTGGTAGCAACAGACTAGTGTATAAGTCCTAAGAACAGCAAAGCAATCAACAAGACAACCATATGTCACATGAGAAGTGTGTCGGAAACCAAAGGGTGGGATGGTCTCCGAGGGTAGCGAATGCAGCCTAGGGGTCGAAAACTCCTAAGGGCATCCACACATAGTGACAGGGGAAAACACATGTCATCAGGCTCAATGAGGGTAGGGAACTGGGAGCGAACAGACCCAATGACCCTAACAGATAGACCTCAGGGCGGGTAATGCTCGACTAAGGGGTGACCGCTATGGAGGGTCGACCATGTAAGGGAACAAGGGAGCCTGGTATACTGGGCGCACCTAGATGGAGCATGAGGGGCTGGGGCCGGCGAAGGGTAGAAAGATGATGGGTAAGGGAATCATGCAAATGACTCCTAAAGTGAGGGAGGTCGGAGCTAGATCCGTAAGATGGAAAGCCAGGGCAACGCTACGGTCCCGATGCCTATGCGTATACCAAGGGAGAGCCCAACTCAGAGGAACCCGGCTAAAGGGAGGCCATCATGCGACACAAGCAGGGTACTGTACAGGGTAGAGTGGTAAGAGAGTGGCGACGTCTGAAGTAGGCAGAGCTGATCGTGATGAAGTCCATGAAGCTGCCAATGACGTCCACGATGAGAAGTCCGGAATGCCGTCGAGGAAGAGCCGCAGCGTCGACGAACTGAAGTAGCACAACTGATGTGGATGGAGTACTGAGAAGTCAAAAACGTGGGAAGGTAAGTCAGAGTCAATCGTTGTATCGAGCAGGACGACGACGAGTGCGCTGTTGACGCTCAGAAGCATCCGGCTGCTGCTGAAGGTCCGCCTCAGATGGAGCAGGCTCGACTTCAGCGGTCTCCTCAGCCGGAGGAGAAGGAGGAGGGTCAGTGGGCTGAGGAGGAGCAGTGAACCCAGCACGACGAGCACGGTCATAGGCACGCACCAACATGCGAGCGTGCTGCAAGTGCTCGAGGGGCTCCCAAGTAGCCTCCTCATCAGGGTAACCCTTCCAACGTACGAGATACTCGACGTGGGGAGGGTTGTCGTCGGTGACTCGGCGACCAATGATGTCTGAAACGAGGAACTCCTCGTGACCGTCCACCGTGATGGGTGGAGGGCGCTCGTATGGTCGTCCAGCGGAACGCTCAGACGGTCTGCGGTAAGGACGCACTAACGAGACGTGGTAGACATCATGCACACGAGCCTGGCGTAAGTAGTCGGGCAGCTTCACACGAAAGCTGACCGGGCTAGATGTCGTATCAGCACCGACGACCTGGAGGATGCGGCATGGGCCAAAGAAGCGACGCTGAAACTTGCGAAGCGTGTCCGAGCACATCATCACCGACTTTGAATGGATGATCCATTCTCGATCGGTTCGCACGTGTTGCCATGCGAGTCTGGGAAGCGGCTATGTGCTTGTGTGCGGTCTTCATAATTGACGTTATGTGTACAACCCAATCATCCAGCGCGGGACAACTCGTGTCAGGGTGCATCTGGGACGGTCGAAGGAAGTCCGCGGGAACACAAGGGTGATAGCCGAGGTCGCAATAGTAAGGCGACATCCCCGTGGCTGGCGAGACGGTGTGGTTGTAGGCTATCTCCGCGTGGGTAAGATGAAGATCCCACTGCTGGTCGTCACGAACAATCTTTCGAAGAATATCTCCGAGAGTCCTGTTCGTGATCTCGGTCTGACCATCAGTCCGAGGATGGTAAGACGAGGAGAAGCGGAGCTGAGTGTCGTATACTTCGTAGAGTCGTCGCCAGAATCGGTTGGTAAAGCGCGGGTCACGGTCAGATATGATGCTTAGAGGTAAGCCGTGGTCACGCACGACTCGGTCGAACACGATGTCGGCGACCTCACGTGCACTGATGGCATAGCGGCACGGAACAAAGCGTGCACGCTTCGTGAAGCGGTCGACGACGACCAGGATAGCATCATGACCGCGGGGGGTCGGAGGCCGAAGAGGACCGATAAAGTCCATCGAGATGGACTGCCAACGACCCTCAGGGATAGGAAGAGGAGCAAACCATAAGGTAGGTGGTTCGCACTGTTCACCTCCTCACAGGTGGGACACTCTGCGACGTAGTCCTTCACAAAGTCCTTGCGCTTCGGCCAGACGTACAGGCAGCTCACACGAGCCAATGTCTTGTGGAAGCCCATATGACCGGCGGCTGCCTGGTCATGGAACTCTGCTACTTCTCGGACACGTAGCTGTCCAGTGGAGGGAACGCAAATATGGGGATCTCTGGTGCCCTGTGAACCGTGCCAGTACACAAGACCGT